TACACTTAAATGTAGAGGAAGCCTGTTCATGCAAAAACACCGAATGAGTAAAGTAGCACAAGCATTCAGTACGTGCCAGAATTCGTGCAACATGCCGACATCTGCGAAAGATTGATACTTTTTCGCTAGTCGACATGGACTCAGGATGTGATAGTGATTATCATGAAGTCTATTCTAAAGTCATTTCAGTCATGATAGGATGCGGGCTTTTTAACGAGCTTTACTGATTATCGTGTAGCCTATTCTGAAGTTTATTCCGTCATGATAGGATGCGGGCTTTTTAACGAGCTTCGTTCTGTCCACTTAAAGAACGTACGGACTGTAAACAGTAACTGCTTTAATAGCATACATTTTTTATCATTGATTTTGACTGCCTTTATAAATTCAAAGATATTTTATAGAAAACATGCACGAAAACATTGGTACTCGTTTGGTAGCAGACTACGCTCTCTTTTAATTTTATACTTTAAGGAAGGGTATCTTTCGGTTGGATGTTCCTTTAAAGTCGGATTAATTTAGCTCACTGTCTATCCTTCTCTCGTTTGACTCCTCTTTATTGAAGTCCATCGGAACTACAGTATGGCCTAGTATTCGTGTAACATGCCGACATATGCGAAAGATTGATATATTCTATGGCTAATCGGCATTGAGTAAGGTTGTAATACTCATTATCGTGTAGGTTACTCTGAAGCCATTTCAGCCAAGATAGGATGCCGGCTTTTAACTAGCTTCTTTCTGACTACCAACAAAACGTATGTACAGTGAAAAGTGGCTACTTCAGTACTATGTACTTTGATCATTGATTTTGCCTGCCATTAAAATTCAAATGTATTTTATGGAAAACATGTACTTACAATTTTTTTGTTGTACTCGTTTGCTAGCAAAGTACGCCTTCCTTAAATGTTATATTTAAAGAAGTGGTACCTTCCGATTGTTAAAATCTTTTTTAATTGCCGAATAATTTGTAAACCTACTGACTGCTACACTTGAATTCAAGGTTTATAAACTGCACGCTGTGTACATCCTGTTTAAGGAAAAGTACGTTTTCGCCTACGGGTTGGGGAAGAAGTCACGTATTTCTCATGAAATATTGCAACTTATGCGTAGCATGCTCTATACATTATAGGCAGCACTGATAAATTGATGGATGTGATGTATGATGAATGAACACCTCACAATCGTAAAAAAGCTCGTAATTAGAAACTGTGTGTTTATCTCTGTAGTTAAGTCTCTCCTTTTCATTTCTTCCTGTAGAGGAGATAATCACGACGAGGAACGGTGATAAATTTGCTGATCTTTGATCTTTTGGGAGCAGCACCGATGCGATTTGTCTTTCTCATTTTCTACATTTCTCTCTACCTGCCTTTCGTGCTTCTTCTTCTTCACTGATTCACCCTTTGCTCAGTCATTTGTAACATTTGGGCCTTATTTGCGGGCCGTATGCTTATTTGCTATTATTTCATATAATTTACTGTTTAATGCTTGCAGCGAGCACTTAATGCTTTTGTGCTACTAGTTACGTGGATTAAGATAAAGACATTTGCGGGGCTTGTCGTTGTTGTTGTCGCTGATGCTGCTGTTGTTGCTATCCCTTGCCTTCACTTTCCTATCAGGGTGTTAAAAATTATGATGATTATTTCTTCTTTTTTTAATACTGCCTGCTGTGAGACAACTTTTTTTCTTAAAGATTTCGGGTCCGCAAACATCGTCGATCGGTTAGGGATAAAGCGACAAGGAACTTTTATGCAGCGGACCATCTCCGGAGATTGAGCATGTCCTGAGCAAAGTGAGCGTTTTCCGTGAGAGTGCAAAAAATACGCATCCAGAACCTTATTAGAATAACGAAACACACAATAGGGTATACCGCATCCTAAGCCTGTCATGGTCCCTTCCAAAGTTTAAAAGGTGAGCGTTTGGAAAGGAAGCGACCGAAAAAGACTGAGTTAAGCTAGATTTAGGATGCACACTGGGTTTTACTTTAAATAGCAGTTAGCTACTTATGGCCCATTTTAAGAGGGAAAATCCGTCCTATGTATTGCCTGACTCAGTTTAGTTTGGTCCTGAATCAAGGCACAGAGAACTTGGCGAGTGCCTGTAGCGTCAGAATGCAAACAACAATTACCACTTACCTTTTGGAGATTTTAAACCCTAGCCTATCTGTCACTGCATATTAGCAGGCGAAAACCGGTTGGACAACGAGTTCGTAGCTCAATGGTTAGGACATTTGACTCTGATCAGAAAGGCCGCGAGTTCGAGGCTCGGGTGAGACACCACTCGGGTCTGGGTATGAATGGCTGGCTGGCGACGGCTAATAAGCCAAAAATTGCTATAATGGGAATCTCCATTGTCCTTGTCGGTGATTTCCTTCTGCTTGTATCATTAGCT